TTTTACGAGGATAAATTTTGTCTAACGCGCGTGCCACTCATGAACACGAATGCCAAAATGCATGAATTTTCTATGCGGAAGACAAGGTTTCCCGAAGAACAAGTTGTGTTCAACGCGCAAGTAAGAAGTTATTTTGAGGAAATTGCGCTGTCGAGTTTCAAAATTAAATTATTATACGCATAGAGCTGGCCTGGCTCATTCCCCTCTTTGCTGATTTTGGGACAAGGATAAAATGATCGAGCATTATTTATTATTGTGTGGCCGCTTCAAGTTACCGAGGAAAAACATTCTCAAAGCGGCTGTTAATCGAATTAGATTGGACTTCAATATTTCTAATATTCTCACCTTGGCAGCTTCCTCATTACATAATTGTCACCGGGATATCTGTTGTGCTGTGTAATTCTTAATCTTAAATCGAATCAAGGCGGTTTTGATCGCAAATAGTGAAACTGGTAAAATTAATATTCTTGTAACGACATTATAATTCATCAGATTTGCGATTAATGTGACATCCCTTCTAATAATTCGTCTACTGGCCAATCTCCCAGAGTGGATGTGAGTCATACATTTAAGTCATCATCATCATCATCAAGCTTCTGAGTCTCGCTAGACAAAATGATTTCTTACGATGCGGCCACGATTAGTTTTGACTGCATTACCCAGTTTAGGGCGAAAATTTAGCCTTATTTCTGGACTGCATAGTTCAATTGAAAAACAATCGATTAAACGTTTAGCCTTGCAGAAACCATGGCGGAGTTACCGTGTGTGGAATATCGCGCAAAGACGGCGTGTTTGCTCTTTCCCTGTGCTACTTGAAAGACGTCCACGTTAAACTCTTCAGCGGATGCAGGCAAACATTTGTGTAGGCAAGTTTTATAGACTGGGTTTCTATCACACACACGCACACGCACACACACACATATATATATATATATATATATATATATATATATATATATATATATATATATATATATATAGAGTTTGGCAGCACCAGCATTTTCTGGCCGAAAATATGCACGTTTCCTATGGTGACATTTCCCAGAAGACGCCAGCATGTGTTGTATATCCCTGATAGCCGCGTGACAACAACCTTATGCAGACCATTGTCGTGTACTTAATTGCCGGGTATTGAAGTGCACATGATCTGTAACGTGTCAGCAGAGCGCGTGTCATAATGGGGTCGGCCGAAGCTCTGTTTAGTGGAGGCAAGAAATGCATGTGTTGACAACTTGGCACGTATTGACGTTTTTGTACATACGGTGAAGAGTCGATATCATGAAAGGGCAAGGCATAAAAGCGACCCCGAGGGGAGGAACCGGATTTCAAATAAACGAGGAAGAACCACTGGTCCGTCGTATTGGTATTTGACTCTTCGGGGAACGACTTGGCTTTGGGCTAGATTATTTATTTATTCATTTATTTTTTACAAATGCCTTTTTACAGGCCTCGCAAATGCATTGTGTAAGGAGTGTCAATACGAAGTAAGAACAATTTAGAAGGACATAAATAACAAAGTTGGACCGCAGAAGTAGGAACAATGTAGAATAACAGAAAGAACAATGGCAAGTACAGAAAAATAATTTCTAGTACGAATCTAATCTATTTATTAGTATATTAATTTCTGGTCAAATAATTTAGTTCTTCTAGTCAAATAGGGCATATTTGTCGTATAAGTAAACTTGATTGATTGATATGTGGGGTTTAACTGTCCCCAAAACCACCATATGATCATGAGAAACGCCGTAGTGGAGGGCTCCGGAAAATTTAGACCACCTGGGGTTCTTTAACGTGCACCCAAATTTGAGCACACAGGCCTACAACATTTGCGCCTCCATCGGAAATGCAGACGCCGCAGTGGAGATTCGATCCCGCGACCTGCGGGTCAGCAGCCGAGTACCTTAGCCACTATACCACCGCGGCGGGGTCGTATAAGTAAACTTAGGCGTCGAAAACACGATCGCGCAATAATGCATGGACAGGATGTTTTTGCGTGGTCGTGTTTTTGGCGCGTATAGAGTTTACCTTATAAACAAAATAGACGCGACGGACGCTCGCCACAATATAATTTGCAATGGCCTGTGTATGAGATATGGGTTCGAGAACTTGCACAGATTAGAACTGAAAATGGACAGTTTCATATGTTAAGGCCATATTGTAATCGATCGTTAAAGTCATTTTCAAAGCGTGGATTTCGGAAATAAAGCCCTGTCGAGGTTGCTTTGGATGCCGGATGAATGACAACGAAGTGTTTGCGTCGTAAGCGTATATGTATGTAGGGTTCCCCTATCGGAAGGGGCGGGGTGTTCATCGGAGCACTTTTCCCTTCGTTCAGTCAATATATGGGACAGACTTTAGCCCCTCCCTTCTTTGGTGAATATAGGGATGGCGATTACCAGCAAGATGGCGCAATGAACGCGCGTTGCTACATTGTCACGACGCGGTGGTGCGTGCTCTCATCTCTGGAGAGGAGGAGGGGGGGGCTCTCTCGTCCGCCCATATCTCGCGGTGGGGAGAATCGTAGGTCTTGGCTGTTCTTGGGCTTTCACTGGAACAATGCTGTTGTAGTTAATGGGCACACAAAGGCCATTACAGTCGTTGCACAGTCTCCGTTTGCGAGAAGGGCGCGCTTTTCAGACACAGCTAAGTAACAACTGAGATGCTTATTCTTGTTCATTTGCACCTGTGAGTATGTTTCGTGCGTCATTTGCGCGTGAGAAACGCGGGGCATGTTTTGATCTGCTTGCAATATTGTGCGTCCTCTTCCAATTTGTTGCTACCAAGTTCTTTGCTTTGCCTTGCGGCAAAACTGTTACTTTTTTTTGTTAAGAGAGCACTATTATCGCTGTAACAGCATGTGCGATACAGCCCTAAACATTTGCACATATGCTTCGCATGATGGTACGGCTGAAGCCTGCGTGACGAGAAATCGCGGAGTGTATAATTCTCCAAGGCAATACATAAAACTTATGGCAGTTTGACTACGGTGGAACTCTAGGTTGCATGGCCACCACGCAATTCTGTTTCCGTTATCAATGCTTTGTTTAACGAAGTGCTGATTCACGAACTCGTTGTGCTATGTGTGTGCTACATAACCATGAACCCTTACCAATTAACTTGCCCAACTATCACTACGCTATTTGTTGCTGCGCTTTGTTGGCTTCCTGCTTGTCACGGCAGTTGAGATATGCATCATCTGCCGCGAGTTCCGTGAGGTTGTTCAGATGTCGCATAGTGACGCTGGCGATGCAGAGGCGTCGCAGGGAAGGAACATTCGCTCGCTGGGCTAGGCGGTAGTATCCTCTTCTGCGCCCATTGCCGTCAGCCCCTTGTTTCCAAAACGTTTTAGTGATTTTAAGTTAATGAATGCAATTACTTCTTGGTTATTTTGTTAATTATGTTATTTTAGACCTTCCTTGATCATTTTAATCCTGGTTTTTTAATTTCTAGTGTTGTTAAGGCTTGTAGTGAGTGCTTCACTGCGAGTGTGATCACACTAGTCGAGATGAATGGACAACAAGGTGGACCCCTAAAGTGCTTCCTCCGGTTTGCTGTCGGAGTACTTCAGAGAGATGGGGTTGGGTTAGAGGGGGTAGACATATAAATTTAATCGGCATCATGGGTGAGATTTTATTAGGGCAGCTGTCGCAATTTCAGTACATCATGTCATCATCGCTATATCGACCTTGGTGGCAGCACGGCCACTCTATGCATGGTTCACGCCTCGTGCATTCTCATCAAGTGGCTGTGCTGGGGCCAACACTTGTAGCAGCTTGTGATGCAATATGTGACATTTGACCATGTCAAAGCCGCACCAGTATGCTCTTCATTCACGATCTTGGAGGCAATGCCCAATATATACCGCTCTCCACAGTTCGAGGGAATGGAGACTCTTTGAGGCTCCTTCTAAGATAGTGTTCACAACCGTTGCACCGTGACGGTGTTGTTTACTGGTGGCCTGTCATGATTGCATTATTCATTAGTGCATTATTTATATTGGTTGCAATTGACCTTTTGCGTAGGCACATTCATGCTCAACATTTACTATAATGACGCCACCCGTGGTTGAAGATACTGTTATAGGGCCTTCATGTCTGCACGATGCAGCCAGAAAACAACATTACAAAGTGCCAGCAGTCGCAAAGGTGTTTAATTCACCAATTTTGGCTATTTTAACACCATGTTGTAGCACTTCTCAACCTTGATCACTGCACCGAGGCCTTGCTACAGCTCATGTTGAGTGCGACTGGAAGGTTACTTTTCTGCAAGCTTGATGGTTCAAAACATGACAGCGTCATGTTTGCTGCTGTTATTCATTCAGCGTTTGTTCACTGTTGAATGTCCGAAGCCTAGTTTTCTAGTGTGGTATAGCTGCTAGTTCTCATGCATATGCAGTTGGCTATGTCACTGATAAGAGAGATCAAAAACCAAAATTTCTTTATTTTGTATTATTTACATATATTGTCACATACTGTGCTTCACCAACATTTCCAGTAAAGTCATGAAAAAAAAACGGTAAAAAAAATTCCACAAATTCTATCCTGATATCTTATCAGCTTGGGCAATGTATAACGACGATGCATATGGACGCAGTAGTTGATATAAAGCGTAACCACAGGTGACATGGCCTTATGGTGCATAATCTTTAAGGGAGTAAGTTGTTATAATCTGTGATGTCTGTACTGTTCATACAAATGCTTGCAAAGACTGTGAGCATAGGAACATACATTTTGTTCCATCCATGGCTTGGAATACGGAGACTCTGCTGTAGGGCAGGCAAAGAGGCTATTGCGCATATAATGCATGCATTTTACGGAGATGCAACTTACGGAGATGCAAGTATGTGAACAAAAGGCCGCCAACAAAGTTAAGGTGCATCCTCATGTAATCATTTGCAAGTGTGTGGAATGGTTACTGAGATCTGTTGCTGTTGTGCTGCTGTGCTTCCGCTGCTGTTCTCTACGAGTGATCATTGTTTCTTTCTTTTTGTGTCATTGCAGTGTGCGGAGTGTTATGCACAAGCACCTCGAGAAAATGGGTGAAGTGGCGTTTGACAAGATATTCAACCAGAAAATAGGTGGGTCTGCATTTTTGTTTTGTATATTGCCATTTTTTAAATTACTTTGCTTAGTCACTTTTGTTACATACTATAGCGTAGTTCTGGCATACGTTATGACCTGAAAGCCAAAATCTATAACATGCCACTGCTCAAGAAAATCTTGTACCAGTGTCACATGGTCAACATTGATTGGTTCCTTTGTGCAAACTGTAGGAGGGAGCTGATCACTGTTCGGAAATTTGATTTTAATCTGTCTTAATCATGATCAGCAATGCACCTTGTGACACCGGTATTATACTTCATTATTGAGTCAGTTTATTCTAAAATGCGTTCTCCACCACACTTTTAAAAGAAATATTTAGGATCATGTGGGTTTTTTCACGAGGACAGCTAAGAGTGACCTAATGATGTTCATATTTGTGAAATTTTGATTATCACACATGTCAAGGTACAGTGACTACTAAAATGCAGATTTCTTATCAAATCAGCTGCAGAAACAACTCAACAATACTATGCTGCTGCACATGTGATCTCCTGTTTACATGCAATTTGTGCCTTGTTTGTGTTACTAGTGCTGTTCACTAGGTATGCTTGATTGTGGCAGAGCATATAGCTGTTCAGCGAGTTAATTGACTGTATTCTTGTGCTGTTCAGTGATTAAGCGTTGTTTGCCTCACGCTTGTTGAATTTTGATCGTCAACTAGCTTCCATGCAGCGCTGAGTGCATGGTGTGATGTCACACTTTTCTTTGCAAAAATCAGCAGCTTCAGTGCGTTATGACAATTGCTGAGCCCGGCCTTTCTTGAAAATTTCGTCACAGAAACACGGACTCTGACTTCCTGACGGGTCCTGGCCTTTCTTCTCTTTTGTGGCTGTCTTTTTTTAGCTTGGCACGCTCCTGGCGTCAAAAAAAAAAAAGTGCTCATTTTTTCTGACAGTGACATGGCAGCACAAGGGACGGTTGTTGTCATGCGGAGCCGACTTTTTCCGTGTGACACTTTCTCGAACATTCATCTTTTTTTTATTTCTCTCATCTTGTCTCTCATACGAGTGTGCACTTTTTTTTTCTCTTCTTTCCAGGCTACTTGTTATTTAAGGACTTCTGTGACAACGTTTCTGACGAGCAGGTTCCTCAGCTAAGTTTTTACGAAGAGGTCTGTCTCATATTTTTTTGTTTTTTTACCCCCTCGTCACTCCTCATTGCATCCGGCAGATCTGCATGTACGTAACGCCCCCTCCCCCCCAACCTTGTATGTGTAGGTATGTTCGTCTTGTTTTGTACGCGTTTACAAGCCTGTGCGTGTTCACTGCAGCAGTTGAGGCCGTTTGTCTTGCTTGTGGAAGTCTATTGTGATTTGCAGTTTTCTGGCTATAGTAATGACCTATGCTGTTCTCTTTCTCTGTTTCATTCGCGTCAGGGGAGGGGGGGGACAAGTGGCTGGCCAGCCGTCCTTCGTTTTCTTTCGAGAGCACAAAAAAAAGCTGCACGCCATTGTGTGGCATTAGCATCACTTTCGCTCTTTCACTTACCATTGAGTTTTGAAGATGACAGAGTACTTACTGTTTACTCGAGTCGTCTCGAAGCAGGTGCTTATAACGGCGAATGAACTCAAATGTGTAGGATATTCTCATATGTTGAAAAATCACTGATAATGATACTGCTTAGCCGGTGTCAGCCACGATTAATGGCTCAGGAGAGCGACTTCTTTAGGGCCTTCTTGGAAGCCCTTTGAGTCGCAGAAAATGTCTTAACATCTTTATGCCCACTGAACCTTTAAAGCTGCCAACTACGAGACAACCACTGCTGTTTAACAGCAATCAGTCATCTGTCCTCTCCTGCTGTAAACACAATTGAAGTGTGGCAGTGACTTGTAGAAATGAAATTTATTTAAAGCAGCAAACCAGCTTGTTTGTGTGATGTCAGAGGGTGACACTCATGTAATGTGACTCTGTGGTACAAGCTTGTCCTGTTCACCATTTTAATGAGCTATGGGGATAGTTTACACAAAATAAGATTTAGGTGTATTTAAAAAAAAGACATGATAACCAACAATTATTTGCCTGAAACAAGGATGCATGTATCACTGTCATTATAGACTTTTTTTTTTGCTTTATTAGTTACATATAATTGGATGTGACATCACACACCAACTTTCTGCATCGCAATAGCTTAATGAAGTGAGGTTAGTCTTGATTGTGCTATTTCTTTAACCTTAATGTTCTTGTTTCAATGACCTGAACTGTCGTCATAATTCAACTTTGTCTTGGCTTGTGCGGCATTTGTGTAATTCTGAAATTGGAGCAGGTAATTGTTATATGTGTAGATTAACTGATGGCTAGGCGGTAGTGACTACCGTGAACAGTAGGCCATCAGGCGCACGAAGAACACGAGAACATGTTGAGCCCTTAGCCCAGAACGAACTGTGTTTTATTATTTCCCAAAACGGCCACCCCGACGCTGTGCCAGGCTTGCACAGCTCAACACAACTATCAGCGCCGCGTGAGGGCGCTGCATTTGAACCAACATTGTAACAGTAATCCTGTCTTGTTTGTGTTGCATACTGCTTTCTGAAGTGGCAGTGGTATTGAGAGAAATAGCAGATTATGCCTGCACAATTTTTATGCTTATATTAGCACAATATTACAAGACAGAACGTGTTCTGTTTGTAGTCATTGCTTAGGTGTTGTTAAAGGAACGAATTGATTGCTGTGGCAACAGATATTTGCAATCTCTGAAAGTTGTGAAAACGTTCAGAAGTGTTTCAGGTTGTTACAGTACCACTGGCGACACCTTAACAGCAGCAGAAGACCCTGTGATGTTTATCGATCCGATATGGCAGCTGTCAACTTGAAATAAATGTCTGCTGTCATGCAGCTTCTAAGTTCTTCGGTCATGTTCAGTTTGAAATGAATTTTGTCTAGCCTGTCTCCTTAGACAAATTGTCTTACCTTTCTGTGGAAGAACTGGAGAACAGGGCTTGTGACATAATTTTTTTTGCTAGCACCTGTTTCTTAAAGTTTGTGGTAAAATGAATCGGTTCATTTGTGCTGGTGATGAGCATTTAATCTGCCTTATTTTATTTACTTCTTTGGACTTTTTGACACTTATTGCTGCTTATGAAATGCTGAAAATGAATTCGTGAAAATATGTGAAGAACCATGATACAGGTTGAGGAATATAGAGAAATATAAAATAATCTCATTGAGATCAGGCTGAATAATTATACTTCAGGTTGACGTAGATAATGCTATTCTTGTCAGTATGACTGAAATACCATAGTTGCACGAACATAAGTCGACTCGAATATAGGTCGAACCCCTAAAATTGCTTAGTGGGGGAGGGGGCTCAAGTTTTGGTTTTGATTGTAGGTGGGGCCCTGGCTTCAGTTTTCGAATTTAAATAAAATTGACCGTTTTACAATCATACAAATATGGTGATAACACTTCAATTGGTAGTCACTGCACATCAAAGAACACCAGGTGGTCGAAATTTGCAGAGCCCCCCACTGCAGCATGCCTCATATTTGTATTGTGGTTTTGGCTCATAAATCCTCAGATGTTATTCAGGAGATATCAAAAGGAAATGCCACCTTGCATTTGAAAATTTTGTAGCAGATGTAAACAGAGTCACTAGCAGGCCTGATGGGCGTAACGTGCAAGTAGAAGTGCACCATCAAAAGCTTATCGAAACTTCTGCTTCTGAAGTTTGGCAAAGCCAGAGCAGCAAACTTTGTTATGTTGGGTGTAGAAAATAAGTGTTAATGGTGCCCGTGGAATCGCTGCAAGATCTAGCTGGAAAAATGATCACCCTTCAAATATTTCAAAGCAAATAATATGAAACAGAATGGTCAAATAGATGCAATCTTATGGTTCTTTAGTGATGGCATTGATGTTTATGCATGTGTATCTCTTTCTTGGTTCAGCCTTTATATTATTTATCATAGTTTGCTTATCTTGTCACCTTGGTAATCGCTCTGTCAATGTGCACAAATACCTCTACTCTATCCTCTCTGCCCTAGCTATAAGCCAGGCTTCTATACTCTCCTCCATCATATGTGCATTGCATGACTGACTTGACGTAATTGCGTGCATGTGGTATCTGCTGTCACCTGTGCGATATGATCTGTATGACGTCAGCATCAGCACTGGGGCAACGACAGCATTTAATTTGAGCCGATGTTATGGGATTAAATGAGAAACCTGATCTCTTTCAAATGTCATGCCAAGAATTTTTGTCCTCCGATTGTGCGTAACAGTTCATTCATCACTGTCTGTGTGGACTATCTTGCAATAGCAGAATGGCAAATGGGTGGTATATTGAACACCAATCATGCAAACATGACCAAAGTTAGAGTTAAGGTGGTGACTTGGAGTAATGAGGAAATAGTTAAGCAGGTAATACCGCTGTAGCCAACATTTCTACAAGTGGATTTGTCTTTTTGCAGAAATGTTGGCTGCTGTGATGTTCCCTGTTCAACAATATCTGATCACAGCAGTTATGCTGACTTACCTAGCATGGCACAAGAAATATTTCTGCTATATTTTTGAGGAGCCTTCTCTCTCTCTCTCTCTTTTTTTTTTTTTTGCTATATTGGCCAGCACGTAGTTCTACGGATAAATGTAGAAACATTGCAGTCATGTTGATTGTGCATTTTTTTTTTTTTCAGATCAAACGCTATGAGAAGCTAGAGACGGCCGAAGAGAGGCGGACGGCAGCACGAGAGATCTATGACAATTACATTATGAAAGAACTTCTCTCACACACTCATGTGAGTTGCTCACGGCCATCTCTGCCCAGACATTTGCCTGTTGGTTGCAGCATATTCTGGAGTACAGTACTGCGATGTGCAGTACTGATGTGTGCAATGGAGAAGTACTGCAAAAAACACAGCAGCAAACTCTTTACCAGTAACTTCAGTGATATCGCTGGATGCACTGTTGCACAATGTGCACTGTTCAATCAGAATGTCATGGTTGATTTCGCATTACGCAAAAGTATATATGATATACCGAAAAGTAGTTGATTGAGAATACAGCCGCGGGTGTCATTCGCAGGATATGATACATGCAGGAGTCTGTGAGGAGTAAGAACAACGAAATTAAAATGTGGCTTCAGCTTGGCGTGCTTGCGCATGTGTCCATATGTGCTTCGATTTCCTGCAGCGTGTAAGTTTGTTGATGAGGTGCTAGTGGCACTGGCACAGAGACTTGCATTCTTCCTCTAGATAGTGACTTGGATAGAAGAAAGTTGTGTGTCGAGGTTCGTTACTAACTGAAGGCCATTTCAAGGCACCTTTGGTGAGTCCCGTGGCAGAGTAGTTATTTTCTCAGCTTTTATTCTGCCCGGTAGACTTGGCATTGCTGCCCCGTGTGTGGTAAGCATTTTTTATGCAGGAGAAGGAGTAAAACTTAAAGGCAGGGAAGCTTACCAGGACTTAGCGTGATTGATTTCCCTGCATTGGGGAGGAGGAAATGGGGTGACAATGTTTAAGAGGAGAAGAAAAAGAAGGTTAACGGTTGGTTGTGCTGGTGCAGTCAAAGTTCCGTGTTTGATGCCACAGATGGCCAAATCGGTCTGGTGGCCTTCAGAAATTGAGCGCTCTTGTCGCCTGTTGTAGCTGCAATGCTCAGTTTTGTGGTCCCAAACACACATTCACGGTAGGAGCTCCTCCGTTTAGTTGAGACGTAGAGCTGCGCGAAAGTGGATTTCTTCATACCCAGTTGGTGGCCACAAGAGCTGTTGAACAGTATACTCAATGGTACAATGTGCTATTGGGCATTTTAGTTGTAAATGAATGTGTGGTGGTAAGTGCAGCGCTGAGGTGTAGATTACACAGCACTGTATCTTCACGAGGCCACAGTGTGCCAGCAGGGATTCTTTGCGTTAACATACCCGCACAGTTCAAATAGTGTGCTGCCACTTTATGTACAGTGCTCACGGACTGAAACGCGACAATTTAGGGATAAGTGACAAACATTCTTTCCTTCCCCCCATCTTAATTCTTTCTTTATCAACGTATTTTCAACTGAAACGTGTAGATCAGAGCCATCATCATCTTTGGAGTTCAGATTTGTTGTGACGTGATGTGGCCATCATAAACAGAAGCACTTACTAGTCATTGTACTAAAAATATCAATGTCACGTTTGAATCCATATGAGTACTGTATGTAAGCTTGGTATGTATACAGCTATCATAGCATCTTTTGTGAATACGCACGACCATGACCATGGTGGTTTCTGGTATCTTGTGGAAGGGTCGTAGTCCGATGTCTTGTTAGTCCTGCATGTTTTAAAACTTTCTCCTAGTGATTGTTAGCGATCATAATTCTACATAGGTATATCCCATTGAGGGAATATTGTGTTATATAGTATTGTATGCAACACTTAGCCCAAGATGACCAATGAATTGAGTAGTGGTTGCAGCAAGTTTTGTATAACTAATAGTCATAGACACTCAAGCTGCTGCTAAATATCTGATTAATTTGCATATGTTGAACTTGCATTAATAAACTGAAGTTGAGTACAAAGTGAACTTAAAATGGGATTCTTCGTCAGAAATTTGAGATGTTGAAATAGGTAGGTTGTTGAATCGTGGAACGCCTTCTCTCAAGTTTAGCTCTGATGCCTGATGGTTTAAATAGGCTTATTATTATTATTTTCGCTACACACGATGCCGAGCGTAAATGAATGGTGGCAGGTCTACTCTGGCTGCATCTTGACGAAATCGAAGTTCACAGGAGCCTGCATGGGAGCGCAGCTTACTGCGTGGAGATTATCGTAGGCATTGATTTGTCTGGGTTCGCAGCGAAAAATTCTAGGATTGTTCGCGTGTGCCGATCTGTTTTTCGTGAAGAGGTTATTTTTGCTAGAGTACAGTGGTTGTAGTATGATTGTTGTTGAAGATGGCTCTTAAACAACATATTAAGCAATAACCTACTATCTATAGTCATTACATATGTGTATATCCATTCATGTTTAAAGCTCCAGCTCATTTCTATCAAATGACAAAGAAATCTTCAGAAGCAATTAATGCTGTGAGAATGCCAGATTCAAATGTTACTCAAAGGTAAACACATGTCAAATGTATTCGAGGTATTTTTGAAGCATTCTGTTTTCGTTATTGCCAAAAGGTGATGCGCACCTTCTGGCAATAGCGGCATCTTCGGCAACAGTAATGCATTAAACTACTTATCCCTCCCGTGTGCCTTACGGCCGTGTAACGATCTCCCGAATGTCATCGTTCTTCAGCATAATCACAATATATTTTGCGAGCATCTCATCATCTATTTCTCTGATAAATCTTAACTGGTCCATTTTCTGTCATGTTTTTTCAAACCCTCGTTTTCTTTTTTTTTTCATTTTATTTTATCGGTAAAGTGATACTACTGTTTTTCAGTTTTGTTGTACTAGAAATTTGACTAGAAGAACTAAAAATTTTAACCAGAAATTGATAGAGTAGAAAATGGATTAGTTTGCACTAGCAATTATTTTGCTGTACTTGTCATTGTTTCTTTTTCTTATGCTATTCTACAGTGTTCCTACTTCCATGTACCAACTTTTTTTTTGGTGTCATTCTAAATTTTTGTTACTTTGTATGGACCCCCCTTACACAATGCCTCTGTGAGGCCTGTAAGCTATTTGTAAATAAAATAAATAAATAAATAGGTTGTTTTTTGCATTAAAACAAATTTTGAAGGTTTAGACTAATCAAGGAGCTATATGGACTCTGCTGTTTTTTATATTTTTTTCAAACAATAACAACAGTGTTAAATAGTACTACTTCTGGCTATTTAGTATAACATTACTTAATTCCAAATGGTTTTGGGGTCAAACCAATTACTGCTTTAGTGATTTTTTTTCACATTTCGGACGTTTCGATTATGTTAAAGTAAACACTACTGCGGTTATGCCAGAGTGGGCAGGACCATGTCAAGAGGCTAACCATCTCTTTTAACTCTGAGCGCTTGTAATGCCTTCTCTTGTCCGAGAAATCTGGTAAACAAACCAATAAATAATGATAAAACAGAAGTTACTTCTATCTGACAGTGAAAATGTTGCTCTTAGCTGCCATGTGTTGTTGCTCCTAGCTGCGCACTACTGCGTGATGCAAATTAAATTTGTTGCGCCGTGAATGTGGTCGAACTTTGACATTCTGTGTTCCTCTGTTTCCACCTTTTGACAGAATTATTCTCTCGAGTCTGTAGGCCATGTTCAAAAGTACCTCATGAGGAACGAAGTTCCCGTTAATTTATTTCAGGTGAGTCCTTGTTCCCTTACATTCCAGGATGTGTGTGTAGAATTTTCTTTACTAAACACATGCGATGGCAACATGGCTCACAGGTGAGCACTAGCACAACTCAAGGACGCTGCCTTCATTTGAGAATTTTTTCATCCAGTGGCTCTAAATGAATCTCAATGAGACTCGGCGTAAGCTGCCTTGCATTCGTGGCAAGCGCTCTGATTCACATTAGACCCTCAAATCTGCTGCGACTAATCCTGAGGCCAGAATGCATCCTGAATTCACCCAGGAGAGTATAGAATTCACGGAGGGATGAAAATAGAAAAAAAACTAATATGTGTTCTTAAAGATAGCTCCAACTTTGCAAAATTCAAACATATAAAATATGTAAAACTATGCATGCCAAAAACATATTCAAGCATTGGAAGATGGAGATTGCAAGTGGCTTCAGAATTGCGACAATATCTAGTTCTTTTTCGACAGAAAATGGAAAACTCTTTCAATTCTTCTCACCATATTGGCAATGTATACTAAGTGGCTCAAGCATGAAAACTCACCAGTAACCACCATTGGTACCTTTTGTAGCCGGTCATTTGACCCAAACATGGTGCACATTTTTCTTTTTCCCCTCGAGCTCTTGTTTTCATTGCAAATGCCGACAACAGCTGTAGAGGCAGCCGGAACCCAATCTGCCCCAATGGACGAAAGGAATTGCACGCCGAAAGAGTGGTTGCAACATAACTTGTTGTGCGCGTGCTCATCAGCTTGTGGAAGCAATGATTGCATGGCTATAATGATTGCATGGCCTATAAGGGCCTGACCCTGCATAATGGCGGGGCGTGATAGACCTGGCATTGGCCCCAAGGCCACATACGCTCTCTTCTTTTGCTCTGGTGATTTCTTCACTGATTTCTGTTGGGGATGGTGCTGCCTTCTCGGTGCTGGTGCTGTTAATATATATCTACACATAAATATGCACTGAATCGTCTTTATGTGCTAGCGTAAACGATCAGTTTGTCAAGTCGCTGTCGTTGAGCATATCAGAGCTATGCTGGTTAATATAAAGAGACTGTCTACAGCCGATGCAAAAGAACAGTACCAACTCACATGCGCGTCATCGCTCACGTTCATGAATCGAAACATCCCTAACTGTATTTGAGGTTAATTGTCTTTTGTACCCTTTTTTTAATTTGAGGTCTTGAAAATGTGGTGTGGTATTAGTCACTGCTTTGTTGTAGTTTGAACAAGTGTAGAATTACATGTTTAAAAGCTTACTCTTGCATAGCTTTAAATGTTTTTGTGATGTCCCTAGACAGGGTTTTATAATATTTATTTAATGAAGAAAATGTGAGATATTACAAACACATCAAAAGGCATGCTGTACATTTTAACTTCACATCACTTGCAAAGAATAGTAGTGCATTGAAAATTTCTTTTCATTCAGTACGTTGCTCTCGAGAACAAGTTCGCTCTTTCTTATTTCCGTGCACGCCTCGCCGTGGTGGTCTAGTGGCTAAGGTACTCGGCTGCTGACCCGCAGGTCGCGGGTTCAAATCCCGGCTGCGGCGGCTGCATTTCCGACACTGCATAGTTAATTTAATAGCTGAAAGTAATTGGGGATTGATGATCATTTACAGATATTTTATTTTTTAATTAATCAACTATGGCATGCCATTTATCTCTGTCAGATTATTTTTTATTCTCTGTTCAATCATTTTCTAGATTGGCCTGAAAGTGTTACAGCGTTGGAGTTATGCATCATATCAAATATTGACTTTTGCTTTAGCTGCACTGATTATTTATTTTATATGGCTTCTGATAATGTAGCATGTGCCATACTGCAGTCGATTTGCTCCAATCCGAACATAAAGCATGACCTTATGCAGGCTTTGGTGTTTAAGAAAGTTTAATAATGAGTTTCATATTGTGAAACTCATTAATTAAACTCGTGTAATAAGCAGAGGCTTGTAAAATCTTGCGACAGTAACTTGTTAGCAGCTGTTGGCATTGCCGTGGTGTGTGCCTTCATGTTGGTAACCCTGCCAGCTATTAAAAGCAAGCTCACTTTTCTTTTTTTTCATATTCGTTAGTCCTTGTCTCAAACAGAATGAAAAGAAGAGCTTGATTTGATTTGATGCTTTGTGTTTCCGTGGGCATTGCTGATTTCTCGTGCTTGTTCTTTCTGCTAAATTGTTCTTATTTGTTCATCCTTTGCAGCCTTACATCGAGGAAATTTTCAGCCTATTAAGGGACGATATTTTTAGGAAGTTTATTGAAAGGTGCGTTGTGTCTGTCATTCTTGCACGCCTCCTGCCTACTGATTCTGAGTGGTCGTATTATGATACTGCAGTGCACCACGCTTTCAGTGTGTGCTTGAATACAAGCATGACTAAGCTGGTTATTCTCATAACCTATTTTTTATTGTCTGCACAGTGGTTTAAGGGAGCACTTTTTAGTTCTGACAAGCCCGCAGTTGCCAAATTTTGCAACAGATGGCTTATTCTTAGTCATGCTGGAACCTCATAGTACCACGCTACGCGTGAGGTGGATTTTTGGAGTAGCTTTAATGAGCATTTGCAGCTACAACTCTGAAAATCCGAGAGTCCCAAATGATAAAGGTGGTTGCCTTTAGCACTTAACAGCACTGTAAATTATGGATGTGGCGAATAGTAGGAGACATACACTAGGTTTAGTGCCACGTCAACACAAAAAGATTGCCGTAGTACAGAAAGAGGAACCAGAAAGATTGTTGCTTTTCGATGAATAAGCATGCCCTTGGATATCAAAAAAAAGTAATTGTAAGAGAGCAGAGGTGAAAAAAGTTGGATCTCAACTTGTCCCAATAGCTACATAATAAAATGTGAATGTCCTTAAGAAAGTGAATTTCTGAACATCGGAATCAAAACAGACCATCAGGTGGTACTTTTCGCATGTTTTATCGTGCCATTATTTGGCCTCTGCTTTTTAATGGCGTGTGATCTATTGTCATAGCATGTACAGGGTTTCCAGGCAATTATGCCATGTATTACTATGGCAGCGTAGCCTGGGAATTTCCCCTGTACTTTAGTCGGACTGCTATAGTACTTACATTTGGAGCTTGCATATTGGTGCAAAGGCGTTGTTTGCAGCATATGCGGTTGGCTGTCCAGAGTTCACTGGTATGTTCAACACATTTAAGAGACACAAGTGATGGAGCTGATTGTTGCTCAACATTGGTAGATATGAGGTTTTAGTAGATTAGATATATTAATCGTAACAGAAATAAATAAGTGAATATCTAATTAAAAATGCATAATATCGATCATTGTGATAGTGTTTCCATATCTTTCCTGCAGGCTGTATGTAAAATTTTGGCAGTCTTTGTGTTAGTGCCCTATTAGTTGGCAAACAGTGCAAGTCTAATATATTAGATGGATGCATAGGTCTGTGGTGACACCCTAGATTGCTTTGCTGTTAACCGTCTCTTGATCATCAAGTAAGGGCAATGTGCACAGATTGCACAAACCTCGTTCGCAGGGACAAGTACGGCTTGTAACATTGCCATCTCTTTCACATTTGATGTTTCAGTGAAAAGTACACAAGGTTTTGCCAGTGGAAAAATCTCGAGCTTAATATTCAGGTGAGTCTTTAAGTTTGTGTGTTTGGTCGTGTCAAGTGTGCGAGCATTCGATGATGATTTCATCTGTGGAAGTTTCATGTATGTAGTCACTGCAGCTTAGGATTGTGATGCTTATGTTTATTGTGACAAAAACAAAATGTAAAGCTTAATGCCATATATATATATATATATATATATTGCTGGTTGCTTTGTGTATGATAGAGCCACGCTTTCTCATTTTTATATTGGCCACGCACATATTCATGGTCTCGAAAACATGTTTTTCAGACAGATTTATCAGGCAGATGGTTGACAAGAGAACAAGGAGCCTTACATTGTAGTTATTGCTGGTCGTTTTGTTCTAATATAACATGTTGACTTAAGCAAATGGTTGTGCAGCCCTGCAGTGTGTGTTACGGATGTACTTCGTAGTACTGTAGTCTTAGGAGCACTTTCTATTGAATGTAATGTTTTTTTTAGTAATAGCTTGAAGAAAGAGAAAATGAATGAAGTACTGTGTTTATCAATGTTGTTGATCTTTCAGACAGCTTATTTCGTATGCTGTTGCTTCTGTCAGCTTTCTGTAAAACATGGAGTACCATGCCAGCACAGCTGTAATGTACAATTTTTCCTCATGAAAGCATTGAATGCACAATGACTTTGCTATTTATTTTATATATGCCTGTATTTCCAGAAGGAATTTAGCTAGGCTCTTTTGCATTTTGCTGTGGGAGGCTCCATTTCACGTGTAATTACATCTGTGAAGATAACCAGATGTTCTGGCAAACACACCTACTAATTAAAGAAGGCTGAAACCTTGTTGTAGGTACACTAGCACCGAGGCCATTTCAAAGCAGCATTACATCTTGAAACTTATGCAGAAATCTGTCACAAGATGCATCTTTCTTGCAGTGTTTTATTCTTTGGACAGTGTTTTCATGTGAAAACGGTGGCATTGTGCATTTCTTATGTCGTGCATGTGGTTGAGGAAAACGTGTTTGCATGTTGTGGCTTACCTGTGCGCTTGTTTGTCAGCTGACGATGAATGACTTCAGCGTTCACCGGATAATTGGACGTGGTGGATTTGGGGAAGTGTATGGCTGCCGTAAAGCAGATACAGGAAAAATGTGAGCTGCCTCTTCGTGACTTTTTCTGGCGCATGCCTCGTTTGCCATATTGTTCGTATAATACTCCCAATGGGAACCTAGATAGGTTTTGGGAAACTGCTTTGTTCGGTTATTCTAAATGATGTGCACACATGCCGTTTTGTGTAACGGGATAATGTTATCTAATAATGAGAACTTACGATAATGTCAAGGTTAGAACTAACTGACAATAATTCCAAGGTTAGTGTAGGAAATGTAATCACCAAGGATCATGATATAAATGCAAAGAAAGGGAAGTGGATACAAAGATAACCTGGCGCCGGAAGGGACTTAACCTGCAGTCTTCAAAGGTTCAAGGTACGGTCCCTGCCAGCAGCAGGTTGCAAAAACTTTTTGTTTGGCGAGTTGGTTAGTACCAATGGGGTACATAATAGCGCAAACTTAGAAAGGAAGATTTGAGAAAAGAAGTAGGAAGGAGCTGAAAGGTTGGGCGTTGAACTTAATTGTGTAGCTGTTTATAATAACTAAAAATTTTGTTGAAGCACAAAAAAAAGACAGACGAACAGACGGCACATCAAAAACAAATGATTTTTGTCAGCCTCTCTAAGTTGAAGTTCAACGCCCAACCTTTCTGCTCCCTGCTTCTTCTTTTTCAGAATATTTCTTTTCTAAGCTAGCGCTATCATATACGCCGTTCAGCAGGTTATTTTTGCGCCCTGTTTACTTTTTTCACATTTACAGTATACCCTCGTTAATTCATACTCGAAGGGACCTCTGAATTTTGTTTGAAATATCAAGAAGTTTGAATTATCAGAAGTTCTCACATATTTGAATGTGGGTGAAGTGACAATGAACATTATGATTAGGCATTGATTTTATCAGATTTAAAATTTTTGAAGCGTTTTTAAATCCTAACTGCATACAATGAACGGAAAGCAGAGGTGTAATGTCCACAAGTTTATAGGTCGTTTACTGCTAATCAGACCTTTGAAAGAAATCGTTAATTGCCAACTGCTTCTTTGCTATACAGTATGTGTTTTCAGCACAAAGCTCTTTATACTGGTTGAGACGCATCATGGTTTACCGTGCATGTGCTTAGTTTCAAAGATTTGTTTACTAGCAAAGCCTTTTTTCCTGAAAGCCTGAAGCACTCATTTTGCATTTTTATACTGTTAGGATTATATGCGTAAGCAAATTTTTAAATAGTAGTAAGAGAGCAGCAGGTATTTTCTGGTATGGAACCTCAAGAAGTATGAATTATTTGAATGATGGAGTTTGAACTAAGAGGCTTTTAAACACATTGAAAGAATAGAAGGCCAATAGAAAAAAAAAGTTAATCTTGAATTAACCGAAAACATGAATTATCAGAGTTTAAATTATCATGAGTCTGCTGTATGTCATAATTCTTAGAAATAACATCCCCTATACATTTCTTGGCAGTTTTCATTACAAAGAAAGAAATAAAGAAAGAAGAAGAACCTTTGAAATTGCCCTTTTTTTCTGGGATTATGTTCTGCAATACGTACAGTTGATATAACTGCTTGTCCTTTTATTTTTCATATATGCTGTGTAATATGCGCATTTAGCCAGTAGGATGTTGTCATGAGAGTACCAAACGCTACTGCATGTATTGCAAGCCTCGACTGTGAGTCAGTGCATCTTTCAAAGTCTTCCTATAAAACCTGGCTGGGGTGTCGTGCAACAGAAAACAAGGTCACGGGCTGAGCTTTGGTACACAAATGTGCTCGTATACTGCATATTGACGTCATATTGAAGAACCTCAGGATGTCAAAATTAATGCGGAGTCTCTTGTTACAGCGTCCTTCATGATCAAAACACATTTTCGATGCACAAAATTGTAGAATTTTATTTTTCTTATTTTAGGACAGCTCACAAGTTGTATTGTCTGAGAAGCAGTCAAGCCAACATAGAACATTTGTGAGGGTAAATGTAGTGGTGTTCCCTATCGAGATAACTTGATAACTTGCTTTGGAGACTAGGGCAGAGCGAGACTTCTGACACAAGTGCCGTTTTGGGAAGCAAGTTTGTAGGGCCGTAAGTCTCTGTTGCTTCATTGTAGCTTTGATTAAACTAAGCGGTGAGCATAATGAGTGATTTGTCGTTCTTTCTTTTTGGCAGGTATGCGATGAAGTGTTTAGACAAGAAGCGAATCAAAATGAAAGTCGGTGAAACCCTAGCATTGAACGAGAGGATCATGCTTTCTTTAGTCAGCACAGGGGTGAGTGAGAGAACATCAGTGGCCTGTTCTTGTTGATTTTGTCGATCTTGTTGCGAGCTGTCAAAAGTAAACATCAGTGAATGCACAAACATCAGTTAGCCGATTAACTGAAAGATAAGCTTTCAGAGAATTGCTGCTTTGTGACTGCATTGTGCCTAACATTATCACTGCTTGTTTGAGTTCTGAATGTCACAATTGAAATTAATTATTCACATACTACTCCTATGACTTTCTAATAATTTAAGTGTACTGACAGTGTGTGTGTATATATATATATATATAAAAGCAATTCTTGCAATGAATTATTTACAAGCAATGGAATGCCTGAATAGTATGTCTATTTCAAGAGGTGTTGTGTGTGTTGTGTTTGAGATCCAGGAGAAGCTCTCATTATTTTAATGATCATAACAATCTTTCACTGTGCTTTTGCAGGAGGACTGTCCTTTTATCGTGTGCATGACATACGCATTCCAAACGCCCGACAAGCTGTGTTTTATACTGGATCTTATGAATGGTGAGTGTGGCGCTCTCCCGATTTCCACAAAGCGAGAAAGTGTTACTTGCAGCTGTTGCGGCGATTGCATGCATTTTTGTAAGATGAGTCGCTGTGTGCCAACAGCATGTGCTGGCAAAATTGCTCTCTGCGCTGATAAAAGTAAGCCAGGAAATGGCGCTTCTTCAGGGAAATCAGACAAGTGTGAGATTAATTTAGCAAGAAGTGCCTTTTATACTGTCCCCTTGCTGACACGATGTTGAGTACACTAAAAATATTGGGCCTATTTTGATCTAGCTAGTATGGATGTGTGTATTCTGTAAAATCCTCATATCTGGACCATATGAATGTGTGAGAATCCACTATGTGGCCGATGGCTTTATGAAAAGAAAATTGTCAGTCTGACTGGCTGTTAAAATTCTGCAGGCGCATATTATTGCATGTTTGCTTATAACTTGCGTTTAATTGTTTTGATGTGCCAAAGAAATGGCTCACCTGTGAGAGGTCTTTTGTAGTAGAGTGCTGTGGGTTTTGACAACCTGAGGTCACTTGCCATGCACTCAATATGCTAGTGTTTTCATTTTGTCCCATTTGAACATCGCAGCTGTAGCTGGGAATGAAACCCGTAACTTGTCGCTGTGTAGCTGACTGCTGTAGTTGCTGTGACCATGGAGCGTGATGATCACTGCATGTTTCGTGTCACCTATACAAGGGCAAGACTCCTGCACGTAGAGAAAAGAGCATGTCTATGTGCGACGAGTGCACTGACAGTGAGGCATTGTTTGTGCACAGGGGGGGACCTGCACTACCACCTATCTCAACACGGGGTGTTCACGGAGCAGGAGATGCGGTTTTACGCAGCTGAGGTGATTCTCGGCCTAGAGCACATGCACCGGAGATACGTCGTCTACCGGGACCTCAAGGTGAGGGACGTCATTTTTGCTAGACGGAGCTCTGCTTTCATGGCTAGTGCTCTCTTACTGCAAGCACTCCACTATTGCATCTGTTTGTCTTTTGCGTAGTTTGTTGTTTCCAAGAGACAGCGAGAGGCAGTTGAAAACTGTGCCAATTGAAAACTGTTACTCGGTGTCTAGATTGGTTGAAGCTGTAACAGGGCACGCTGCTAGCTTTAGTAGCTCTGCTCTGACACCATGCTGTGAAATGTTGATTGGCTCTCTAAACGTAAATCTCTTTAGCTGTTCATTGCTTACAGCACAAGGGTCACTGAGAGCAAAATGTTAGTATTGGACACATTTTGTCGCAGGATTTCTAGAATATCAACCACTGTATTACTAAGCATTTAACGCGAAATAATTGATTACAACAGGTATATCTTTCTGTGGCAGCATTGTTTCGCTTCATACATTTTGCAGCCAGTAAAGTGAGACTTTAACCATTTCTATAGCATGCAAAGCTCCACTATACACGGTTGCATCAATCTTTTCCTGTTTGTTTTCCTGCTTGATCAATTTTCTTTCTCTGTTCTTACACGTGTGCCCCTCGCAAAACATGTGTTCTCATTTTGCAGCCTGCCAACATTCTTCTCGACGAACACGGGCACGTACGGATATCAGACCTCGGTTTGGCGTGCGATTTTTCTAAAAAGAAGCCCCATGCTAGCGTGTGAGTATTATCTCCTCGTGCCTTTGGCCTTATTTCGTTTCTATAGCTCTGACCGACGCACGTGTGTGTGTGTCATGCAGGGGCACCCATGGCTACATGGCACCTGAAGTACTCTCCAAAGGCACAGCCTACGATTCCAGTGCCGACTGGTTCTCGCTAGGCTGCATGCTTTACAAGCTGCTCAAAGGGTGAGACTCTGCTTTATGCTGACAGTCAGCAATGCTTTATTGTTCACAATCTCCTCATGATATAATTAATGCTAGTTTGAAAACTGGCTTGGTACGAACTCTGTTGCAGTAGGTGTGTTGCAGCACACAACTCGCTTTTGACAGTCTTTTACGACTTGAGCTTAAAAATTGGGTACTAGCAGCTTTGTAAGTCTATGTAATATAAAATTTTGCAAAGCTTTCGTAGCATCGCACACAATGTTCACAATTCATATCAACTATGTCTCATGATTTCTATAGAGCACACAGGTAATTTTTTTATTGTCACAAGTGATTTTCAGCAGCTTTGGAAAGTGTTAGTTTTATCCTCAATATGCAGTACCTACGTCCGTAGCAATGTTCTCTAGTTCAGTAAGCTTATAGCTGTAGCAGATAACGCAGTGTCATCTGTTCAGTTGGATTACATGAAGAGGCAGATATTGCTTGCACAGTAAATAACCGGCTGTTAGCTAGCTAACTAATGAAACCCTTGTGTAAAAATTGCTGAAAGCATTGCCATATGGTACGAATTGCGATACTAGAAGCATTTGTCAGGCATACATTACTGGCATAATTGCATACCGTTCGATACACTACCTTGCAAGTGTTGGCCATGGGCACTTGTTGGATGTATTAGTGCGCACCGTATGGTACATGTTGGAGTTGGAGCAGCTCGAGGATTGAAGTACAATAACGGGTGATGTTGTGCTGCATAGTAGATTCTTTTATTTCATTCAACTTAATTGAACTGCTTTGACTCCAATTAATTGTATTGCCACAGAGTATGAGAGCAGAATTTAGCAAGCATACGTGATAAACCATGGGGTTAGGCTTAGTATACTGTATCAATAGATGCTCATACCTCAAACACAAGCTGCCTTCAGTTGCATATTGAATATATTGCCACGTTCCTTTCCTCAAGTTTTGTGATCAGCCCGTTACACTACGTTCAGCGCAAACCGCGCCTACAGTGTTCGAGAAGCTTCAAGGCTTTAGTAGATCGTTTTGTTAGGATTACTCCCCCTTCGGGAACGTCACAGATTAATTGGGAATCCACGTCGTCGCTAGCGATAGCGCAAGAATATTCGATGTCAAGGGTATAAAAGTCGACACGTTTCGCTGCTTGTCAGTTGATCGACAGCCGACGCTCCGTTCGCCGCTACCAGTGCAAGACTGCTACTGTAATCCGACTTTCCGTTTACTGGGCACAGGTTCGCCCAAATAAACAGTTTATTATTCAACTCGCAGTGTGATCCATTCGACCACGTCACGACTCCGTGACAATATATGTTGTATAAAACAACAAATTAAGAGGATGCGCTTAAGTCATGCTGATCCATTGCCATCACTAGCCATGCAAATAAGACATCTCTAAATATAGCGCCTCACCTGAAAAGGAGGCGTTACGGAACCTATTCACAGTTCAAGAAAGTTCAATAAAAAAGTTATACATGCCTACAAACTGCGCATAACCCATTTTTAATAAAATTTATTTCAAAGAGCATAAGTGAATCTACTGGCTCAAAATATATATTGACACTGTTACATAGCTTGTATGCTGTTGGTTGCCTTTACATCAATTTTTTTAAGTGCTACATTTGAAATAAATACCACAATTTCTCTCTGTCTCTTCCCACACCCGCCTCATTTTGACTCGCTTCAGGCACAGTCCATTTCGGCAACACAAAACGAAAGACAAGCACGAGATTGACCGGATGACCTTGACCATGGTGAGCCAGTTTCGCTTTTTCTAAAAATGCTTGTATGCAGTTATAGGTGACACAGCGGGCACCTGTAGCACTGTGTTGCGTTGCCATAGTTTTAAAATATTTGAAGGTTCACTGTGGCAAGAATTTCTGCCAAGCTTCATTCCTTAAATAAGCCGTGCAATGCTTTTTGTGGGAAGAAATAATGTTCTGCTTTGTGAATATTGAGTGAATGAATGAATAAACTTTATTTAAAATGAGTCCTGCAAATTCCTTTGTGTGAAGCAGGGGAAAGATGTTGGTGAATTTCAAACAGTGTGTGCATTTCATTCTGAAATCTTTGTACCAGCTGTTGTAACATCAAGTGCTCACTCAAACCTATGTACCATGTTGCATGCCAACAATTTAGCTATTTTTGTGACTTCTGTTAATGAGGTGCACTAAACGTTGGGTACTGATTAAATCATTGAGCATTTAAGAAATGCTAGGCCTATCTCACCAATTGAATAACCTGCTTTAACCTGCAGCTTAATGGTTACCTTCTCTAAGCTTGGGCAACCTGAATCCAGCTACCGTATATTTCACCAAATAATGCGCAGTTCTTGGGAGAATGAGGTGGGCTCTCCAAATTCTACTCGAACGTCCTTGCTAAAGAATGGCTTGCTGCTCAGCACGGCATGAAACAACCATATGGGTAGAAGTGACAAAAAGACGCAAAGCTTGTGTACATTTGTCATTTCTTTCCATGTCATTGTCTCCCGATGCTTCAAGCCATTTCATGATGACAAACCAACAAGCCCACTTTAGTAGCCTTCACCACTCAGTCGTTTTCTCTCACAGTATATTGCACTGCAGACTGCAATGTACCAAGGCTCATAAAAAGTTTATTTTCTACCGTGTGGAACAATGCGTGCTGCTGCTCTAGCCTTATCTCCAACAAGTGGCGTTATCGACTTGATGAGGCCTTTAGAGTGAAGACTTACAATAAAGCGAAAAGTTCTTACCTTGAGAAAATTTGATATTGACTTGCTAACTTTTCTCTCTTAACTCTTTTTCTATCTTGGTTAAAATAATTATAGCCAAAAGTACGAAAAGTAAGCAGCATACAAGAAATGTAGCTCTAAAACAGCATCTCAAAGAACTGACTTGGCGATTCTACAGCTTTGTGAGTGAAATTACCGATTGCTTGTTCTGTCTTTTGCGTCTCGTGACACAGAATGTGGAGCTCCCCGAAAGCTTTTCAAGTGACTTGAAACTGCTTCTCGAGGGACTGCTACAACGGGACGTGGACAAGCGACTCGGTTGCAAGGGTCAGGGGTGAGTGACCCTCTAGCCAATGCTTCTTTACACCTTGTGGATTCCCTCTGGCTCGAAATGACTCGGAACCTTTTGTATAGTATTTGCAAATTGAAATGTGAAAATTTGGGGCTATGTAATATGCTTGTACTTTCACTACCTGTAGTATCTACAGCTCACCTGCATCTCGTATTCACAACGTGTTTTGTTCTTATGGGCTGTCTGCTGTTGTGTTAACGATATGATTGCAGCAATTAATGGTGGAAGCCTGAATTCTAGCCTGAAAGAAAAAGCTTTTTTGTGAGAGAGCTTACTGGCATGCACTAGTTGGCCTTATATGGAGCAGTGCCATTTGCAGCAGTTAATTGCTTTCTCCAGGCTTTCTTTTCTCTTGTGTTGTTTTTTGTCAGTATTCGACTGCTATTTTAAGCAGCTTTTTACTACACCTTCTCACATTAGGGTTACAGCTGCTGAGTGCGGTTTCATGTGTTCACCAGGGCTTGACTTTTCTGGCCCATGGTTTCCAGAAAACTCTACTTGTCGCAATCAGCTTAGTGTGTTGCTGCCCTTCTTGCCTTCCCCAATGTTTGCCGTAAAATGCCTGTGAATATCGATGCATGGTATGCAGATTGAATTCTGATGTGCGGCCTTCCTCATTGTGTGCTTCCAGGGCTGAAGAGGTGAAGAGCCACAGCTTCTTCAGCGGGATGGACTGGCAGCTAGTGTACTTGCAGAGGTACCCGCCTCCTCTCATACCTCCGCGTGGGGAGGTCAACGCAGCTGATGCCTTCGATATCGGCTCCTTCGATGAGGAGGACACAAAGGGCATCAAGGTGGGGGACCGGCAGTGCATTCCTCAAAGCATCGTTGTCAGAAAAGTGTTCTTCATGCTCTATTTTATTATTTGTTTATTTTTGTTATTCTAGTTTGTTCACCTCTTTTGTTTCATTTTTCTACCTTGGCTAGGATGGGAGTTTTTCTTATCATTCGTTACAAAAAGCAGGGTCACATCATCGTCTTCTCCTTCTAACAGTTGCATTGTTTTGCCGTGGGCATCAGGGTAGTCTAGTTTCGCAACACCAAGCACATTTGCCTGACCTATTTTGCAGACCAACCATAACTACTGTGCACTTCTTTAAAATACAATTGCATTAATTCAAGGACATAAAGTGGCTCCTCAATTATCTTTACAAAGCACTGTGACAGTGCACAGAGCCATCGTTTGGATTCCCCTAGAATGGGCTGCTTAGGATGTGTGGGAACTTCTAAGGATGTCCCAAATATTTCCCGGAAACCTCCACGAAGGCTCCAAAATGAGACAAAAAACAAGATCCTTAGGACATCCTGCACTCAGGTCATCTTAGGATCATAATGGAATTCTATTTGGATGTTGCACATTCCACTGTATCCAGAAATTACCAGTACATCCAGCATTTGAAGGACGCATGCTAGGTAGTAGAAAGAACTGTCTTTTTGAAGTCTTGCATTTCTTTACATGTTTTTAATACCCCTCAATGTACTCCTCCAGCGCTGCAATGCACTCCTGCTTTTCCACGTGACTGTAGGCCTATAACATGTTAAGTGGTTCTGTTGCCTTCCTTTTTACTTGTTATTTTCCAAATCTTGAGAGAGAGAAAATAAGGATGAAAGAAAGGCAGGGAGGTTAACCATGGCTGAGCCTGGTAGGCTACCTTGCACTGGGGAGAGGGTAAGGGGAATAAAAGTTAGAGAGAGAAAAGGAGAAACGTCACTCATGTCATCGACAAAACTGGCAGTTATGTGCTTAACATCACATACGGTGAGTCACATCCGTGTCTTAATCAATTAAGCAGAGAGAAGTGGTTATAAGATGGAAAAGAAGAGAAAAGTGAGCCTCGTAACTGTCTGCATCAGGGTGGCTCACACAGTAGCTCACAAGAGATGGGGTGAAAAGGGATTAAAAGGATAGGGTTAACGGTATAGAGAGAGAGAGAGAAAGATGTGCTAAGACAGCGAGTGAGGACATATGAGGGATAGGAGAGATAGGAAAGGCGGAAACACGGTCACAGGAGTCCGAGGACGGGGCACCACTTGCGAGAGCTCTTGTCGGCGTCAGGAGATGGCGTAGGGCAAGTCCAGTAGGTCACAGCTACGCTGTCATCGGAGATTGGCGTCAGGAGGTGTACGTAGGGCCAGCCCAGTCGGCCAGAGCTACGCTGACATCGGAGATCGCTCAGGCACTACCGGTCGGCACGGAATTCAGCGAGCGAGACGTTCGTTGCATTAACTTGTATGTGTGGTTTCATGAACCCAAACTCTGGCCGATGGTGAAGCCATGATGGTGCCGCTTGAGTTCTCAAGCAGCAGACTTCTGAAGGCTTGCAAGAACTGAAGTCAAGGTGTCAAGCAATTGCAGCACGCTTTGAGCTGTCGGTGTCTGCATCTTGCTCAGCAGCACGCGCATAGCGCTGACCAGGGTGCTGACCGTGTCGATAAGTTGTCCTTCGTCCAGTCAAGTTATGAGGTACCGATGAATTGTGCCTCACTGTCGAAGTCTGATTCCTCTCATCAGGCACATGTATCTTTGGGAGTTCGGGCCAAGCGTCACCTGCATTGCTGGTAGAGGCATCATTTTCCTTTAAAACGGCTAGCGTTCTGACAGGGTAATAAGGATGAAGCGTCAGGTCCACTGCTAACAGAAGCGCCTTTGTTCTAGGAACCGACAGCGCTTGGCCAGAGTGGGGGAGGTGGTTTTGGACGTGCTTTGCGAGGCGACAGAAGTTTTGGCGGCTTTGGTGCAGCGCCGGCGACGGGATTGTCGTCGCGTAATGGATACAGCTGCTTCTCGGTATGAGATGTCATCTCTGGCCTTTCTCTTCAGTATTGTGAGCTCCTTTCGAATAAAAGGACAGTCCTTCGAAGAGGCATCATGTGGCCCATTGCAGTTTGAGCACTTCAGGGTTGTAGCCTGTAACGTGCGCTTGTTGTGGTGCCCAGTGCATCGGGAACAGATAGTAGACTACTGTTCGTGCACACACCACTTACGTGAACTGACTTCATGCACTTCTAGTACTGAAGTGGTTTCGGTATAAACAGGCAAACTGCGTGTTGGAAGTGGCCCATTTTTACATGCGATTGAAGTGATTCGCCCTTAAATGTAATTCTTACGCATCGTGATGTCCCGATACGACATATACTTGTAATAATGGCATCTTCCGAAGCTGGCCTAATCAAGACTGGTAGGTCCGAGTTGGCAATGACTTCGGCAACATCATATATCACCCCAGTGCTCACTTCTTTGCCCAGCGGTATATGAGAGCGGACTTTCATCCCATTAAGTTCTGTTACTTCAGGCAATCTGTCAAGCGCAGTCACATGATTGACGTCAATCGCTAAGATGTTCTTGTGGCTATTCACGCTTACTTTCTTTACTCCCTTCGGCACCAGTGCCTCTAGCTGTACAGACACAGCTTGCCGGTTAAGGCGTCTCATGTTGTCACTAGCGAGAACTGGCATGAAAAGGATGGTTAATACCTCGGTATTCCGCAAATATCGCATGGTGGGCTCACTCGAATTGGGTGACGTGCTCAGAAATAGTCTCTTTTCCTTGTGGTTTCTGACGAGCTCGAAGTTGTCGTCCCCTGATTCATCGCTGCTAACGTTGTAAGGTTCGGTGTCATCACTGTCCGTGCCATTCTTGACACTGTAGCGCTTCCTGGAAGCAACACCCGCAGTCATTCCGGTGTCCGGTAGTCTTCCGTAGGGCTCTACCTCCATCGCACACCTGCAGCAGACCGCGCTTGACAGGCGAAATGAAAATTATTCACAGAAAACTGTGGAACTCAAACACCTGGCGTTCTGCCACACCGGCACTTCGTCGTCATCCCCTTTCAAATCTTGAAAACACTGCTTCATTATGTGTTCTCACCTGCTTTTTTAATATGTGTATGTTTATAAAGGGTTGCAAAAGTTCTATATATATGTACATGTGCTTTAAAAATGATCGCTGAAAATGTACACTAGTTCATGAAGCAACGTGCATATACATGTGAGAATATCAGTAAGTCGATTAATTGAAACCACGCGAGGTGATATATACCATTGTACATTAAAAATCCCATAAGGTGACATGAATGGGTGGATGCATGCAGATCTCACCTATGCATCCACCCATTCACATCCTCTTCCGGGATGTTTAATGGAGCATCTATTCGCTTGAAATCTACGGGTACATCCATACGACTTCCTTTATGGATGTGGGACTTGGGTACTTGTTTGGGGCATCCTTAGGACTTTTTGCGTTGTCTGGGAATAGGCTGCAGTAACATTTTTATTATTCTGTATACTTGGACCAAAATCTAGTGTTGAGTTTATGTGTACCCGCAGTGCTCACTTTGCCTCTGGAATTTATACCTAATAGTACAGCCTTTGTGATGTCGCCTTGCTTGTGCACACGTATGCCAAGCTGGAACTGCCGGAGTGAGAGCCTTTCAACACGTGGGGAGACCAGTCTTGTTTGTACTATAGCTGCTTGCTTTCACCTGCACAAAATTGCAATTAAAAAAAAACGGAGAGCGCACTCAGCTACCCTTGAAAGGTTTACTGCCCTGAGTTGGGAAATTAAGAGCTGAACTCTCTTATGCTTGTGAAGAAAAAAAAGCCAGGTTCTGCAGTGAACCCAAATGCTATTGTTACTTTCTTTTTCTGTGATTAAAGCAAGAATGTTTAATCACTTGGAACATTTATGCAGCCAGCTGTTTAACCTTTTTGCCGCCGCCGACGAATGTAGTTTTCACGAGTTTTCTTACTAAAAGGACCGATGACGACTATACTTATCGTCGACAAAAATTGGTCACACATGCAATTGACAACCGCTACGCTCGTCATAGTTGTGTTTTTTGACACTAGATGACCACACTTGTACATGCTGTGCCATTTGTGACTCTGCTTTCATTTTATTGCCATCTTTCATTGTATTGCCACACGCTAAAGCCTCCTCCGATATTTTTTTTTTTCTACACATTCGTTGAAATGAGAAACCTCATTGAATTGAAAGAGTGGTACTGTTTTATATGTATATAAAAAAAAAGAAAGCTCTACAAATTGAGCTAGAAGGAAAAAAAAAACATTCGGTAAATATGGTACTTTTTTTTTCACTCGAGCGAAAGGGTGAATATAGTTCTACTTGTTGAATACTTGTTGAACTGTTGAATACTGTTGAACTACTTGTTGAATATAGTTCCTTGGGTTTAGACACACTTAATTACCTAATCAGATTAGCTATGCAATGGTGTGTCTATTTCAGCTATGTTCCGTGTGTTGACTGTAGCAGAAAGAGAGCACTGTCCTACTTCGAATTGACGAAAAGAAGCAGTGTCAACCTTGTCAGTGTTGTACGAGCAACTGTTGCTATATGCTGCCTGGTTGAAAACTAGGTGTACGCGAATATCAAAAATTTTCGAATGTAAATTGAATATGAATACATAGCTTTGAATACGAACCGAATATCGAATAATGAAGAGGTGCAATTTATTTCCACCAGTAATCTTTTACTCAATCACATATTTATGTTGTAAACACTACAATTGTTATTATAGTCAGTTGTGGCACAAAAAAAAAATGTCACCATCTGTACTTGCCAAAAAGCTTAAGATTAATAGTTGAGCTTCTGACTGTGATGTCGGGTCCAATTCACATGATGAACAAACCTTTTTTATCTTTTTTTTATGTGGTAACACTTTATTACAAAAAAAAAAAGAAAGAAAAGCTTTTGTACCTGCCTTGATGACTAGTGAGCATGAGGCCACTGGTTTGATTTTGTAACAGTTAACACCCGTACTTTCTTTTTAACTTTGTCCCCTGTTCTCATATCCGGTCTAGTCACTAAAGGAAATAGGAGTACTTGGGGCATTTTTCAACTACCCAGCAATACTCATCTCGCTTGCTTCCGTTGACTTTCTCGAGGACCGCGCTCGCCATTTTCTGATCAAGAATAGTGTGTTGCACAGATAGCTGCACGGTCGTGACCGAGGCACACTGTGTGCATAGCAATAGTGCGAGATAAGCGCGCAAGATAGATCATTACTGATGTGTGATAAAAAGACTCACCAAATATTTCTTTTTGTTGACGAAGCCACAACTCCCGGCAACGAGGGCACTATTTTGTCGCAGCGGGACCTGCTTTTGGTGCGCTGGCTACAGACGACAGTAAACTGCCGTTGACAAAAGAGCAAGATTGTAGCAATGGTGTAACAGAGGGTTGATTGCAGGATACGTTGCCGCGGGAGCGAGATGCACGTACGACGGATTTTTAAAGGCGTTTTGCAGAACGCTGCAGAACTACGCAGTAATCTTTCCGTCAACTTACGTGCATCACCGTTAGCAACGGAAAACTATATGTGTAACATTAGCCGAAAGTGCGTGGCCTTTTCTATGTTTGCTATTGTGTGTAAAAACACTTCAGCTCATTCGCATGATCATACCCGCTATCATGAAATTATTCTGGAACTATAAAGAGGGCATACATGCTGAAGTAGCAACTCAGCTGACGGACGACTCGGCAGGCTTTGACATGTGCGCGTACATTTATACGATGATCCATTGGCGAAAACTGGCGTGGCTATACATGAAACACGTTACCATCGTGAGCTCACTCCATCAGCGCCGCACCCTGTAACGTATACGCGCGTATTTGCCCATGCGCAGAGATTTTAGGGGCGAAGCTCCTTAGGGCGTGGGCTGTGCGTCCCCTGTAGCCTGTATGTAGCCACCTCTAGTTTAGTTCTTGCAGTGTTCACTAGATGGCGGTACCGTCCCCTGTATGTAGCCACCTCTAGTTTAGTTCTTGCAGTGTTCACTAGATGGCGGTACCGTCTCCTGTATGTAGCCACCTCTCGTTTAGTTCTTGTAGTGTTTACTAGATGGTGGTACTTGTAGCTGATGATGAAAAGATGCAAGATGTTATAAACTAGAAAGCGGTACTTGTAGTTGATGAAAGACGCGAGATCTTATAAAATAGAATGATGTCACATATGGCGCGTGTCATTGGTTGAAGGCAATCATTCGATTTAGTGCGGCGACGTACGCTAGGGGGAGCGATGTAATAAAATCGAGTGGGCAAAATGTACAGAGGATTCATGGTTTACCAGGTTCACCTCCAGAGCTTCGCCCACTCATCATCATTCACTTCGTGGATATGGCGGAATTTTTTTTTTATTCGTGCTCGCTCAGCACGAGAACCGAGCAAAGATGTGAAGACTATTTTGTTGAGCGAATGTGGTGGCGGCAAGTTGCCTTTGTTTGCACAAGCTATACGCACTTGCGGTTCCGCGCACTAGGGCGCGGCAGCGGACGGCGTGGTCAGTATGCATACGTGAACCGTAACAGTGCTGAACCTCTAAGCCACATGTTCTGCTGCACAGACAGTACATGATATAGATTGATTGAGATATTTATCATTTGGTAGGTTTCTCATGATGACTTGCCGCCACATTCGTTGTTAGCCGTAATCACGCTCCCATGAATTTTCACGCAAGCATCACCGCACTTGCGCCGAAGTCATTGTAATCACTGCATGATCTACTGAGGCTCTTATGGCAAATGTGCAAAATCGTAAGTTCTTCACAGTGACAAATGCAAGTGAATAGGCTTGTGCAAATAGTGAATTTTAGGTTGGAAGCGAATAGTGATTTCGTTGAATAATTTCGTATCGAATTCGAATAGTATATGTGACATATTAAGAAAAATGGGTGTATTTATCATCATTTAACTAACCTGCACAATATTTTTTTTAAGCCTCTATGCTGATTTTCTTTTTTTTATTCAAAAGAAGTAAAAAAAAACTTTCAGTAGTAGCTGGATTTTACTTTCAGCAAGATGCGAGTCATAACCCTTAAAATACGTAACATTTTAAGATTTATCAATCTTAGAGCATATAAACAAACTGTCATAACTAGCTTTTAAGCTTAATACAATGAATTGATTTGAGAGTAATATCTTCACTTAAAGGGGCCGTGCGACACTTTTTCAAGTAGCCATGGAATGCATTCACTAAAGAAGCTTATTTATTGCCTCGGGAAATATTTTCAGAATCCGTCCAGTACGCGCGAAGTTGCAAAGATTTCTCGCACGCTGCGAGTGCATTCTCTCTTCTCATCCCCACGAAAGCATTGGAAGCTAAGCATGGAGGGATGGCATGGGAAAAGAAAATATGTCGCATGTGCTTTCTGCGCTTGTTAGAGTCATTTGCCGAGAGAAGAGAGCAATTTTTAGCTGACTTTGAGAATTTATTGTGAATCGCATGCCGCGTGCTGCGCTATAATATTCACTTGCGTGTCCTCAGTAGATAGCCCCAAGTACCGATCGGTACCATTTTCTGACAATGCTTAAAAAAGTGTTGCAGTGCACCTTATAAATTTGAAGGGGACTTCGTGGCTAAGGGAATTTCTTTTGGCAAGGTGCTTTCTCAGTTTAGCACCCCTACACTGCAGTGAAACCACCTTTACAGGCAATACATTCAGAATAATGTGTACTTATTTGTTTCTTGCAAATACTTCGAAATTTTCAATAACTAAAGTTGGAACCTGAGCGAATTCGAATACCCTAATATTCGTTTGAATATTTGAAGCATTCGAATAATTGCACAAGCCTACGAGCGAATATTTGTGAACATCGAATATTCGAAATTTTCGAATATGTGGTTATCGAATCAAATACGAATATTACAAACGAAATGTTCGCCGAATATTCAAAACTTTCGAATATTTGCACACCCTTATCTATGAGAACCAATGGACGCCATATTTGTAAGTACACTCAAACCTCCGTATAACGAACCAAGGTATAACGATATATGGGTTATAACAACTAGTAAATGAAGAATAGTATTACAATAGATATAGTGTTAGGAATACACCTTTACACTCAGATATTGATAAAGTGAACCCTGATACAATGAATTATTGGTTATAAAGAAGTGAAAAATAGTTTTGTGTGAAATGCAGTGTTAAGAATATACATTTATAAGAAATTTTTGGATATAACAAAGTATTTTCATGGCAGGTCTGGCTCTTTAACGAGGCTTTAGTGCATGACGAATTTCCTCTCATAATGAACCTATTTCTGTGTAAGATGTAGCATTGTTATAATGAGGCTTCACTGTATACTATGTAATAAGCATCGTGGTTGATGTGAATGTCTTTCGCATCTCAGCTGACGGAAGCGGACCAGGAGCTGTACAAGAACTTTCCTGTGGTGATCTCCGAGCGCTGGCAGCAGGAGATTGCGGAGACAGTCTTCGATACGGTCAACCAGGAAGCGGACAAGCTGGAACAGAAAAAGAAGACCAAGATGAAGATGAAGTTCCAAGATGAAAAAGGTCAGGAGGCTGTGGCCCCTAATTTGGTATCTAGGGCTGTCAAACCTAGACATCACGGAATATGCAATGTAGCAAGCTGCTTTTATTTCCGAACTTAGCTTTATTGAAAGCATTGCTTTTTCCCATCAGCAAAGTAACCTTGGGCCAGAGTTCTGATTTATCGTAATTTTCATTTACACTCAAACCTCGATGTAACTAACTCTGATATAAAGAAATATCGGTTATAATGAAATAAATGAAGAATAGTATTGCTATAGATAGTGTTGAGAATATACCTTGTGGGGTCTCGGCGAAGAAGAACGAGCGCATCGCCACGCCACGCTCTTGGAGTGAACGGACACAGTGGACACGGTCGGTACAACGCACCCACATACATATTTATTAACCAATTTAGACGACGATATCGTCCGCCGAATGATACATCAATTTTAAATAACATGCTACCATACAAACAACCTAATGCAGTGACACACTAAACACACAATAACATAATAAACACACACTAACACCCAACACACTAGCACATACCCAAGGCGGCGTCGCCAACGCCTGACTTTCCACGTGGGACCCCGGCGCGAAGCCCGCGGTGCCGAGCACCGGGGGCCCACGCGACAGACAACCGTTCGCGGCAGCCGGCACGCGCAGAAGAGGCTCGCTCAACGCTCGCCCACCGCCAAGGCCTGCCTTCCGCCAGGGGCCACCGCCGGCGCTACCGCTCTACCAACAGTGGTACTCAAAGCGAACACAACGCCATCTATCGCCCGGCGGTGGTCACCACCGAAACGAAGCCTTGGGACGAGACACGTGCGCCACGCGGCGCAGACAACTTTACGGGGGGGGGGGGGGGGTGTCAGCACCCCCACATTCCCCCAACCTTAAATCAAACCATACCCCGAAATCAAAAAATAGCTACACAAGCTTTAACAAAAAAATAATATCGCACGACCACAATGTCCTTGCACCACGACACCGCCGCCGGTCGACACTGCTGCACTGTCCGGCTAGACTTCACCTCAGTACCGGCCCCGCAACAGCAACGTTGCCGTCGGCGCGACGATCTGTCGCTAGCGCCGACACGTCTTCCAGTTGCGACCAGCACTCGCGAGGGCGCCGGACTGCAGGCAGTTGCGCAGGTCCCAGGCATCTCCATCGCCCGACCTCACGACCGCATTCCTGGCCAACGACGCTGACGATGTGCAGGACAGCCGGCCGTGGATGACATCCCTCCCGCTGAATACATCGACAAAAAACAAAACTCGAAAGAAACAAAGGAGCGCGGCCCAGGGGAGGGAGCTTCAGGCTTTTCGGCCACGTGGTACGGTGGTCAGTACTGCTAGCTAATACATCGGTGGCGGCCGAGACGCCCATCAAAATAAAACAAAAATCACTTTTCCTAACCCGTGCATCGCAAGATAAAAAAAAAGTGAGGGAAGCAGAGCGCAACACCTCAACGCTACGATCCACCTAGTTGTGCCACGTGCGACAGGCGGCTGCGTAGAGCCTTAGGCCTAATGAGTCGCACGGCAACAACTGGCATCCACCCAGCCTAGGCGCAGAAGAGGCAGCCGCGAGGAGACGTCCACTCTGTGAGGTGGCCCTATCACTCGCCGCACACAGCAGCTTACCGAGCGATCGGCGTCCACCGCCCCGGGCGGTGTCACGACGCCTCGGCGTCGAGCCGCAATACAAGTCAGCAACGACGCCCGGCTCCCTGAGCCCAAAGAGATCGAAGAAGCTATTCACAGAAAATCGGACCACCCACGAGGCTTCCGTACTCACTCGCTTCGGGCCTGGCCTACAAACCACGTGCTCTAGGCCTTGCTCACCCCAGGATGCGGACCGCATGGCTCTCGTCCTAATTCAACAACGTTTTTGAAAACTAACAACAAAAAAATAAGAACACTTGCGAGCAAAAAAAAAATAGAAAGTCAACCTGCCGACAAATTGAAACACGTTACAAAACCAATCCCCTCGCTTCTCAACAAAGCACACCACCGACGCCAGCAAAGAAGTCCCCCCTAGGCCTACTCTACTCCGGCTCTAACAAAATCCCTGTACCGAACCGCAAAAACTGTCGTCCGATACTCCAAGAGCTCCACGTTGGGCAGCCAGTGTGGGGTCTCGGCGAAGAAGAACGAGCGCATCGCCACGCCACGCTCTTGGAGTGAACGGACACAGTGGACACGGTCGGTACAACGCACCCACATACATATTTATTAACCAATTTAGACGACGATATCGTCCGCCGAATGATACATCAATTTTAAATAACATGCTACCATACAAACAACCTAATGCAGTGACACACTAAACACACAATAACATAATAAACACACACTAACACCCAACACACTAGCACATACCCAAGGCGGCGTCGCCAACGCCTGACTTTCCACGTGGGACCCCGGCGCGAAGCCCGCGGTGCCGAGCACCGGGGGCCCATGCGACAGACAACCGTTCGCGGCAGCCGGCACGCGCAGAAGAGGCTCGCTCAACGCTCGCCCACCGCCAAGGCCTGCCTTCCGCCAGGGGCCACCGCCGGCGCTACCGCTCTACCAACAGTGGTACTCAAAGCGAACACAACGCCATCTATCGCCCGGCGGTGGTCACCACCGAAACGAAGCCTTGGGACGAGACACGTGCGCCACGCGGCGCAGACAACTTTACAGGGGGGGGGGGGTGTCAGCACCCCCACAACCTTTATATTGAATTTCCGGCTATAGTGATCTTATTTTCATGTAAGATGCAGATTTTTTTAAATGAAGTTTGAGTGTGTTGCAATTTATTGTAAAAAGTTGACTGCGTATGCACATCAGTGCATAATGTGGCCAGCACGGCACTGTGCCTTTCAAATGCAAAGGCCCACCGATCATGGGTTACGATTTTGGCACGAAGCATTGGAAATGAGCAGATATGGGACGGCAGCCATCGACAAATGCACAAGTACTACTTATCCGCAGCACAGTAGTGATCTGAGCTGAGAAAGATGGGTCCACTTTTTCTTTTCATAATGATATCCGCTTCCCGTCAAAGTGGCAATATGGTCAGGTTGGCTGTGCATATGGATGAATTTCCTAGTCGGCATGTTGTAGCACAGATTTTTTGACGCACTTCTCTAAAATCTAGCATATCTCACCTCTACTGTGTGCGCATTCAGAAGATAAAGCTCACACGTTTACTATCCACTGTGTTGACTGGCCACACGGACAGTGTGGGCTGTACTCACCCAGGAACATGGCTTAGGTAAAACTGTGCTTCATAAAAGGGCTCTTTTGTGTTTGAACTTTGTCCTGTTGGAGCAAGCTTCTTGTACCCTGGGAACATGAATGACTGAAGTTCCTCTCTTATAAGATGTGCAGTCAGTTCAAAACTGGTGCTGCTGTTCTAGCAGCTCATGTACAGTCTGTTTCATACATGGAGAAAATCTTGGAGCGCATGAAATTGTGGTGCAGCCAGCAGTCAGTGCTAAAGTCGTGCGCTGGGAGCAGCTCGTGCATGCGTAGACACTTGAGGGACGTAGTGTTTAACCATGTCATCTGCTATGACGGCACACGACTGCAGAATTAGCTGCATTGCGTGATATGTGTTTCGAGATTTTTCACAAGTGTGAAACAAATGGCACTTTACTTTGTTGGCAAGAAATTGGGCAGATAGTTTGGTGCACTAGCAAACATAAAACTTTGGATTATGTTGCAGTGTTGACATTTTTTAAGCAAAAACTGGTTTGTTTTTAAGTGTTCGCGTAACCGCATCGAACTCGCAATGGCCCGAGAGAGGAGCGAAATTGAACAGTAGAGTTGTTTTGTTCTTTCATTGCAGAGTCAGACTGCATCATCCATGGGTACATCAAGAAGCTGGGCGGACCCTTCGCCTCGGCCTTTCAAACTCGTTACGGGAAGCTGTACCCAAACCGCTTGGAGCTTCACACGGAATCTAGCAGTGCCAAGCCAGAGGTGAGAAGCAAGGCTGTGTGTATGCAACAAGTAAACACCTTTAAGGGTACTGTCGTGAAAATTTTTAGTTGTTGCTTTTTGTATCCAAATGAAATGCAAGCCTTCAAGAGCCTAGATAATTCCTTGGTTAGCATGGGTGCACCCTGAAAAATTAATTGCAACTTGTTTTCAATACCTACTTTTGTTCCTAGTGTTACAGAGTGGCATTAGTTTCTTGTCACGTGCTCTGCAAGATATCGTCATTCGTTAAAACAGCCATTTCGCTCTGACTCTTTTGTGACACACAGGTGGCCATTTCGTATATGCTGGTACCTGACATGATCACAACTAGCCACACCGGTGCTATAATTTATCAGAACGATACTGTAGTCTATTGTTGCCGTAGTGTCGATGTCAGCCGATGCGCGATGCAGAAATTGACTTTGATTAAAAAAAGAACAGATATCTTATTAGCATTTCCACAGCTTTACGTGTTACTCAAAGGCACCTGTGTGTGCCGGAGAATTGTGTCGTGGAGTAATCTCGGCTGCATAAGTTCATGACAGTACCCCCTTGAGCCTAGAGAATACACACAAGACAGTACTGTGGGTTGGAGAACGTACAGATTTGAATGAGAGAAGCATTTTTAGCAAGTCAATGAGTCATAAGCCATAACTCGGAAGCACGATTGTGCTACAAAAAAGACATGGACAGCAGCTGCTCTCTGTTGTCCATGCTTTTTTTTTTGTTCACGCAGTTGTCCTAAAGCACAGAGGTGATCTCTATCGTAGTTGAAGTCAAGTTACAAAAAAATTAAGTTAAGCTATGTCGGCCATCTTATGTGTAATGTAGATAATTGGTGGTCTATTAAGGTCACAGAATTGCAATGGAGGATAAGGAAATTTGCAGGAATTAGATAATGACAGCTGGCGCATGATAGAAGTACACTCAAACCTCGATATAACAAACCCAGATACAGTCGAATCTCGATAATTCGAACTCGGAGGGGTCGGAAAATTTGTTCGAATTAAAAGAAGTTCGAAATAATGAAAGCTAAGTAAATGGAGGGCTCCCCATGCAGTGGCACATGTGTATTGAGCTAACACCCGACGGGGAAGTTTCACAAGACTTACATTTATTCACAAATCGCAGGACATCCGTCATTAATTGAAGTAATTGGTGATGCGCGTGTGCACACATTTGCCTTGCAGCGAGTCAATCAATTTCGCAGGCAGCTTGCAAAGCATGTCTACTTCGGCTTCAGCACTCTCCTGGCAAGAGAAGTTGCGCACGGTAGTTACCAGTGCCGACGCTCTCTAAAGACGACAAAGACTGTATCTCCGCTACTACCCTCTGCGCCAAAGCTGCAGCGTGACCAGCACGTGACAAGAACCTCTCCATGCGGAGAGAGGCAGATCGGCATTCGAGATAAACCAACACTCCACGGCAGCTTTTTTTTTTTTTTTCTCTCTCTCTCTCTCTTCACGCACGTCGTTACGTGGCAGGGACAAGAAAGGGGGAAGCATGGCACAGGCGAGAGAGAGCTACACTTTGCGACATCTTTTTTTTTTCTCTCTCTCTCTCTGCGCACCGCATTGGAAGGAGAAGGGTCTTTACGGGTCAGGGGCAGAAAAGGGAGAAGCGAGGCAAAGGCGCGTCACAGATCAGCATTTGAGAGAGAGCAAAAATTCCATGGTAGCCTTTTCTTTCCTTTCTTTTTTCTTCTTTTTCGTGCAGTGTTGAGGTGTCGGAGGTGCCACTGCGGGTTTGGGCGGGGTGCGGAGAGCATTTACCGAGCGCGGTATGCTCGAATTACTCGTCGCAAGGGCTTGCGCGTTCGAATTACTCGAATTACCGGGCATTTTCGCCCATTGAAATGCAGATAGTTTTGACGGGACCTCATCGTGAGTTCTAATTAACCGGAAGTTCGAATTAAGAGTGTTCAAATTAATGAGATTTGACTGTATAACAAAGTAAGTGAAGAATAGTGTTAAAATAGACATATTGTTCAGAATATACCTTTACAACAAATTTTTTGATATAACGAACTTATTCTCATGTAAGATGAAACTTTGTTATAATGATATTTCAGTGTAATTTGAGCTAGATAGGAGAGGCCTTCGTAGTGCAGTGGACCTGAGTAAACCAATGGTGACAAAGCTCGGGCTGCAAAGATGGCGCATTTACATCAGAAGTTGCATATACTGTCTATAGGGAGCCACTATTTCATTTTCATTCTCTTGTGATATGTCACATCGTTTACACTGTGTTACTTTGGGATAAAAATCCACAGGGCATCTAGCTCTGCTTCAAGTTCAAAATTTATTGTCATCAAGCTGCTCTAAAATGATGATTTACCAAATATACTGTACTTACTTGCGTGATGAACCCGTTTTTTTTTTTTTTTCCAGAAAAGTTAACATCAACTTGGAGTCAACTCTCTGGTTCATTAAATGGGAGAGAAAAAAAAAAATCATGAGAATTATAATAGCAAAAATTTCGCATGACGGTATTTAGACACTTGCCGTCCAACTGTGGCAAGGCTATAGAGCTCTAAATCTAAACCTCTTCGAGAACTTCGCTGTCCACAAGGGGAAACTGTCCTTGCTTTGACTTGCGAAATGTGCGACAAACCTTTTTTGTAGCCCGAAACTCTTCTTGTGTTCTCCAGTAACGAACGTGCATGGATCGACACTGAAGTGTTGTCCAACCAAGTGGTTCCGATGCTCCAGTGCGTGCTTCACCAATTTTAAAACCAGCTGTGTAGCTAGCGTACCAGCCCGTCGTGCCTTGCGCAGCAGGTGTGCAACGAATTTCACTACAACAAACCCAGTGACAAAAAAAAGGCAGCGTCGGATGGCATTGCAGACACGCTGCGGGCACAGGTGCACTTACTTTTTTGCTTTGTTTTCGGGTCACTGTGTTTGCGTGGCGCCGTAAGCGAAGAGATTTCTTCTGCTTTCGACAGATGGCACTCTGCCACAAAAAGCGAGGCTTTTGCATTTCGGTCGACGTCGTTCGCACTCACGCTGCTTGGACCTGTTTAGCACGGTTGTTAAGCAATGTTTAGACTTTTATTGCATCGCTATTTTGTGATAGTAGGGTGATTTAATGTCGCTTCAATCATCAGTGGCACTGGCTATCCCACTGAAATAAAAATAAAATGAACAGTTACCTTAATAATATTGTGAGGAACCGGTTTATTCAGCCAGGCTCGAGCTAAATCACACTGGTGATGATATCTAAAGGGAATGAAGAGTCATTAGCTTGTCGCGCTCTCTTTAATTCTCCCTCACGGTGAAAGCGGCCGCCTGGTCCCTCGGCAGTATTATGAAATGCGTCATGCATAAGGCTTTAAACGAGATACGTGCACTATCTCTGTCCCTCGGCAACGATGATCAGGATTGGTGCTAAGAGGTGAAATGCAGTAATTGACAAGAGATGTCTGTTCAACCACCGTGTACGGCCCAATGAACCGACTGATGAATTTGTCGCATAAGCCGGGGACGCGCAGTGGAGTCCATAGAAGAACTTCGTCATTAGGGGAAAAACTCGCAACACGGCGAGACAAGTCATAGCGAGATTTTCGAGTGTGTTGAGAGAGGCCGGTGTTAATGCAGGCCAGGTGACGGCAGTGTGCGAGACGAGATAAAAATTCTTCAGAGAAAGGAGCCGCCGAGGGTGCAGGGGCCGATAGGAAAGAGACATCCAGAGCGAAACTCGGCGAGCGACCATAGAAGAGAAAAAATGGAGAGAAGCCGGTAGTGCGTTGAGGAGCCGTATTATAGGCGAATGTCACGAAGGGTTGAATGCATCCCAGTTCGTGTGGTTGGGGTGAATGTACATGGCGATCATGTCCGATAGGGTTCGATGAAAGCGTTTAGTCAATCCGTTGGTCTGCTGGTGGTAGCTAGAAGTGGTCTTGTGAACAGTGTTCGAGGCACGCAAAACTTGCTCGGCAATAGAAGAAAGAAAGGCTTTGCCATGATCGCTCAGGAGAATGCATGGAGCTCCATGGCGCAAAAAGATGTGGCGAAGAAAGAAATCGGCGACCTAAATGGCAGTCCCAGATGGTATAGAAGCTGTTTCTGCGTAGCGGGTAAGGTGGTCGATGGCCGTGACAATCCAACGATTCCCATTGGATGATATAGGAAGAGGGCCATACAAGTCGATTCCAATGACTTCAAAAGGCGAGGCGGGACAAGAAAGAGGTTGCATTAAGCCAGCCGGAGAAGTTGTCGGTCGTTTTCGTCGTTGGCAATGGACATAGAAGGCAACATACTTAGCGACGAATGAAGAGAGGCCAGGCCAAAAACAACGACTTGATATTTTGTCGTAAGTCTTTGTCACGGGCGGCCATTTTTGGCGACACCGCGTCACGGCAATTAACGGGCGCCGTACTCCCCGACTGACCGTGAGAACGGCGGCGCATGAAAGGGAGCCGAGAAGTGCAAAATGGGGTGCTCTTCTTAGAACGTCGCCGTCGACGGTTAATCCTTTTGTAACTGTGGCGGCGTCTGCAAGGTCGTAGAAGGCCGCGGTATGCCCCGAACAAGGATTAGACTACGAGACGCACCGGCTGAGAGCCAAACGTTTGACCGTTCCCACGGGGAAAAGCATGGGAAACGCTCTGGTGGCCAAGCCGTATGACAACAACCCGACAGGTTGTCACTCTCGCTAGTTGAGGGCCCTCTCCCAAGTAAAAAAAGGGTGGGGTCAAAATATTTTTGGGGCGGAGTTTCCCCTCAATTAAACGCGCATGATTGGACCCAGGTAGAGGTCTCTTGTCCCCAAGGAAGAGAGCGAGGAGACACGAGGGGGATTTAAGCGCAGGATTTTGCCCTGCTAGGCAGACTAGTCGCTGACCAAGATGGTGTAGAAACAGATCAACAAGCATCTCTTCTAGAAGTTTTTAGTGTGGCTCTGTATCGGCTGGCCACCTAAACTTAGCCGTTCGTCTAGTTGTGACGCGATATTAACGTCTGCAACGTAGACATCGGGACTTCGCCTCGAGTTAGCTC